AGATTGGCATGGGTTCGCCGAGTTCAAGAGGTTTGTTTTGGCTCTTTGAAAGAAAAGCGCAAAGGTGCCAGGGACTTCCCGCCTGCAGGTTTGAACGAAAATGCTTTTCATTCCTCCAGGTCCCAAGCTGGGCTAAGCAGATCAATTTTTTCCGATTGGCAATGCCTTGTTGTGTCCGGGGCCTTTTTTCTGTGGAGGTCAGTTTCTTTGCCTCAATCGCCTTGGTGCATGGTGTGCCTGGGGCCCTTGCTCGCCAAGGTCTGCCGCAGAGAGACGACGACCTCTGTGCAATTTCAACAGGAATCTGGAAAGCCGCATGTGTGGCACGGTGGCATCACACAAGAGGTAATATGCTCACTACCCGAAAACATTTTTGAGATAAGCCTTTTGATTCATCGAGGTTGTGGAATTTTGATATTTGCTTTCTTCAGGAAGCTACCACTATTCATTTAAGCATATTGGCAACCTTTTCTATATAGGCTAAACCTCCCATCATGGTCAAATGAACCAAACTCTTGGGTTGTGAACTGGCCCTGTCCGGGCTGAATTCGCGCGATCCTGACGTCGCCGAGGATTCCATCCACAGCTGGCCAAGCAGCAGCTGCAGAAGTTTGTGGGTGGCTGGGAGAATCTGCACGGGGCTGCATTTTTCCTCTGTCCGTGAGTCCTATGGGTTCGGCAGGGTTTCCACCACAATGTAATCCGAAGCAGACAGCGGCGGGTCGTTTTTGTTTTCATAAGCCCGCTTCAATTATAGGAGGAGAGCGCTAGAACTTTTCGAAGCCATCTCTCCTCATGATGGGAGTAACACGGGGACGTACTGGTGCAGAGATGCCAGCGCAGGCCGCCATGCCCGCTTTAACTTTTGTTTCTGCGACTCCCGAATAGACTGCGTGCCTTTGTGCTCCTCGCGATGTTTGCCTTAAAGATTGTTTGCTTTGCTTTCATTTGCATTCGTGCAAGTTAGATGTGAATCCCAGGATTGCGACCAGGTTTTCTATACCACGTTGATTGGGCTCCCATTTTCACTCAATGCTAGCCGGACCGCGCAAGACACCCTCAGACCGTACAACACCAAATACTCTTCCTCGTACCAATATCATTATCCAACGTATATGCGCCCATCTATCCATCGGTAAGCGCATTCGCTAACCTATTGATCCATCCATCCATCCATCCATCCATCCATCCATGCGTCTAACTTTCTATTCATCTATCTATGTACCTGTCTGTCTGTCTGTCTGTCTGTCTGTCTGTCTGTGCGCCCGTCTGTCTGTCTGTGCGCCGGTCTGTCTGTTTGGTTGTCTGTCTGTCTGTCTGTCGGTCGGTTGGGTCTGTCTGTCTGTCTCTGTCTGTCTGTCTGTCTGTTCTCTGTCTATCTAGTATGTTTCTATCTCTGTCCTGGATCGATCTCCCTCAGGTTTTGCGATGAGGTTGGGCACTTGACTCCAGACTGCCCAGCTTTGCACAGTTTCTTCCTTGAAGATGCTGCGCCTTCATCGTCGAGCCTGAAGCGAATGGTGGGCAGTGGCATCGGCGCTGGCAGTGCTGGCGGCATCAAAGTTCCGAGAGAGTGGCTTGAGGACATTGATGTGCCCCCAGATGGGAATTGCTTGTTCAGCGCTATGTCTGTGGCTTTCAAACTCGCACGCAATGAGCGGGTTGGGGCGCAAGACCCGAAGATGCAAACCCACTGGGGCTTGCGAAATCGGGAGGAGCAAGTTGCATGGGTGAAGAAACAACTTGGCCAAAACTCATCTTTCCCTCCTGACGATGCTGATGCCCCTTCCCTCTCCGCGGTGATCACAGCTTTGTCTGGACTCCAGCCACCCCAGTATTGTTTCTGGGTGCTGCATTCTTTTTTTTCTCCCGGAATGGAAAATATTCTGCACTGCACGTATAAGTGCCCACTGTTTTTCCCGCACTGGTGGAAGTGCCCTAGCGAATAGCGAGTGGGGCGCTAGAGTTTGTGCTTCGGTCCGTGGTTGCTTGAGGGAAGTTGTATTGACTTGGACCTGTCATGGGTTGAATGTTATTGCAGCGACGTGATGCGAAGATCAGGCCTTTCCTGATTGAGTTTTCATTCTAAAGTTGCCATGCTGGGACCTTATGAACATCCTCCCAAGCGTTGACTTTAGGATGTACAGGAGCCCAGCTCACAGTCATGTGGTCTGCGCGGATGAACCTCCATGGTCTTGGTAGTTTGCGATGAAAACCACAGGGGCATCCAAAAACATGGAAAACAAAGCTTGGGCCTGCCAAGGTGAGATCATGGCGACGTTTGGTTCTCACAGAAGGCAGTGGGGTGGTTTCTTTGAGATTGCCGTCATGTCGCAGAGGTGGCGGTACAGGACGCACATCCTGCGAGAAGTGGCCCAGGAGTTGAAACATTTTTGCTCCATTGGCCGAGAGCACCGAAAAGAAATTTCGGTGGTGTGGACGGGGAGCCACTACAGAGCTCTGCGCATCCTCAAACAGGATGACTTTCTGAAGCTGTGTGGTGTGAAGTGAAAAGGGAGTTCTCTTGTCTTGTGCCGTTTTTTTCCCGTTCTTTGGCGGGGTGCTCAGTGGATCCACCCCACCCCCTTTAATCCTCCCCCCCAGTACTTTTCTCTAGCTAATAGCGACGGCCTCTAACCTAGAAGCGATGGCCGGCCTCCAACCAAATTTTGCGATGGCCTCCAACCTAATATGGCGATGGCCTCCAACCTAATGGCGATGGCCTCCAACCTAATATAGCGATGGCCTCCAACCTAACGGCGATGGCCTCCAAGCTGACAGCGATGGCCTCCAACCTAATGGTGATGGCCTCCAAGCTAATAGCGATGGTCTCCAACCTAGAAGCGATGGCCTCCAACCTAATAGCGTTGGCCTCCAACCTAGAAGGCCATCAGCCTAATTTGCTATGGCCTCCAGCCGTTTTAGAAGATAAGACAGAGCAATTGTCGAGCCAAACTGTCAGACAAATGATCTCTGTTTGTCACGCATGTTGGTCTCTGTTGGTCGAACTGCATCGGGCCAGTTGGTTTGCTCTGAAGGTCTTTGGCTCGGCCCGCCTCGTTGAGGCTTCGGCGATGGGAGGGATGTAAAATTTGTTTGATGTGGTGGTTAAGATCACTGTTGTGCGGAGATTCTTGTATTTCTTTATCACACTGTACTTGTACAGCATTGATGGGGACACTTGAGATAATTTCGACCTTCATATGACCGGCATTTTCCCGTTTTTTCCACCCGATGCTGCCAGAAATCAACGACTTGTGCCTCACAAGAGATCAAGGCAGCACCTTTGCTGGACTGGGCGAAGGGCATCTTGACTTCGGATGTGAATTGGACATTTTTGTGTTCTGTTGATCGAATTTTGCCTCTGCAAATTTGTGGTCTTCACAGCATGCCTGGGTGCTTCTGGCTCAAAGATCCACATGACTTGACGTAGATCATCCATGCTCATTATATAAATGCATTTGAAAGAACATGACCAAACATAAAACGTCCCTGCTGCTTCGGTATTCATGAACATCTTCCTCTCGCCGTAGCATGAACAGCAATAGCCAATGCGTTGCTTTATTGCTTTGCTGACCATTCTTCTTGGGGGCGAGGCACGGCAGTATACGCCTATATTCCAGCATTGCATGTCAAGCACAGGCGGCCTCTGGAGAAGCGCGCAGAGCAATTTGGCGTGGCGGGCATAATTGCGGAATTGGATAGGTCTCAAATGGTGATCAAGCGGTACTTCTGCACTCCAAACCTGGAAATGAGCCAGGTTTGTCTCCTGGCAACATGCTGGTCATATCAAGGCACAGCATCCTCAAATGGGCAGAAAAGAGACACAAAAGTTGATCTTCAACGCAGGCTTTGTGCCCCATTGCCACTGAACTGCAGCGAAGAGGACATGAGGAGGGAGACTTAATCTAGGATCAACACGGGCTGTGTTGTTCGCTGTCCGCGTTAGTGTCAGCTCACTCCCAGTGTATGATTAGAGCAGGGAAGCATAGCAAGCACCAATGAGTGTGTTGCTGAGGTCCGGGTTGTGGTGCATGAAGAGGCATCACCCGGGTGGTTTTTGTCGCTTGAAAAAGACAGAGTAGATTTGACGCGCCGCAGGTCCTCCATTTGGTGCCCAAAAACCTCATCGCTTTGAGTGCTGGGTTGCCTGGTTGCAGAAAGGCCAATGGATAGCAAGCACCAGTGGTGGAGTTGCGTACTTTTTCAAGCGTACATGAGGCCTCTGCCGTGGCACCAACCTCAGTGCTTTTCGGAATCAGAATGGGTTTGCCATTTGACAAATTCACGACTCCACTGGAATTTTGAACGCGTTGGTGAGGATTTGGATAATTTTAGGCCTTTTCTGCAATGTCTGAACTCAGGTCTTGGACAGAGGAGCTTCAGTTTCGCCAAGCGCTCTGGGTTCGGGACCCATGGAAACAGGAACTTCTGAGAAGGTGCATCTTTACTAGCCAAGGATCCATCTCCGGCCGAGGAGGCTGTTGATGTCTCGCAGTTTGTCAGCAACCTAATAGCAATGGCCTCCAACCTATGGCCTCCAACCCAATAGCGATGGCCTAGGGCCTAGTGTTGAAGGTTTTAGGGATAATCTTGAGCTCATTCATCCGTTGAAGGCGGATTTCTCAGCAGCAAGCTCTGAATTTGCAGGCCCGAGATGCAAGGAAGGCTGATCTTTCTGAGCAATATTTTGCCGGGAGCCAACGAAGCCTTTTGCGAGGACGCAGCCTTACCTTTCTAAGAGAGGGCTGGAGATTTGATGCAAGGCAGTTTCACAAAACGACACAAAGCACAATGCCTAGAGGCTTGAATGAAACGCTCCACCGTGTTCCACTCCAAGAGTGGCCAGCTTCTCAAACCTGAGAAGGATTTGCGCGTAAAGCTAAGAAAGGAAGGTGCTGTGCATTTCTACTGCATGAACATCAGAACTTCAAAGGCCAAGCCTTCTGGCGATTGATGTGTCCTCCGCCCGGGGTCCTACAGTACTACGTGCTGCAGTATCCAAGATGCTGGTCACTCATGGACTCATGGGTCAAAACCATGAAACCGTCTCAACGTTGACTCGTGATATTCAGTGGATCAAAGAATCAAAGCCATCGTAGAATCGCGCGAGTGGAATATTTTCCTTGAAGAGATGGCTCTCATGTTGGCAGCAGATGAAAGTGAGCAGATGTTGTACCTGGAAGACCAAGTAGCCGTTGGAGGCCAGGCGATGACGGGGAAGGAGTGCTGGAAGCCACGCTTCAACAAAGCTTTGCTGCTTGTGGTGGGTTTCTTCGGCATTGCATCAGTGGCAACTGTGTGGCATTTCCATGTTGCTGACATGACCGCAACTGGTGCAACTACGGCGTTGTGGGACCAGTATTCCTCTGAGGGTTTGAAGGCCTACAGAAAGAGAATATCCAAGGAGAACAACAATGGCGATAGTGCTGATGGCTATGAGCTTGTGAGCTGGGACGAGGTCATGTGTCAAGCGTTGAAGGACAACAAGCAGCGGATTGTGCGTGCCGTGGCAGCTCGATATCCCAGTACTCTCCGCGCATCGTGCTCCTCGTTTGGCTCTCCACTGGAATATGCCATGGACAGGAACCCAGACATGGTGGAGGTACTGTTGAAGTCTGGTGCGGTTGTTTCAGACAAGATCATGGTGGAAGCTGCTTGTCATCAGCATGGTGGATCTACCAAGCTGTTGACCATGTTCCTGCGACTTGGCAAAGGAAATCCCAACGCAGAGTACGGGGGCAACAGTCCCATCAATTGTGCAGCCAAACGTTGTGACAACTCCGATGTTGAGGTCCTGATGAGGGCTGGGGCTTTTATCAACAACAGAGATGGACAAGGTTTCACACCACTCTTGAATGCCTTGACCGAAGGGTGTGAGTCTTTGGCTGAGGAGTTTATCAGGAATGGTGCAGACATTCATGTTGAAACTCCAACAGGAGATAATGCCTTACAAGTTGCTTGTCAAAGATGCATGCCGAATGCAGCTCAAGATTTGCTGAAGAAAGGGATTCGGGTTGACCATAAAGATCAACTTGGGAGGACGGCTCTTGATTCAGCAGCACAGCATGGTTGTGTTCAAATCGCATCATCTTTGCTGAACAATCCATTCACAAATGTCGATGAAGTGGACAATTCCGGCCAGACCGCACTCTTCACGGCCGTTGCAGGGACTGCTCCAGCGTCACTCGTCCCGATGATGATTGAAAAAGGTGCTGATGTGAATCACCAGGATCTAAAAGGACAGACACCTTTGATGATTATGGCACAACACGGTAAAAATTGCCAGGTGCTGCTGCAACATGGCGCGGATGTGGCCAAGGTCGACAAAGCCGGTAACACTGCATTGTGGTATGCCGCCAGTGTGGGTTCTGCGTTTGCTGCCACTTCCCTGCTGGAAGGTGGCTCCGAGTCTGTGATCAACAAGAAGGGGGCCCAGGGGAAGACGCCCTTTGCGATAGCATGCTGGAACACACATCCTGAGGTTCTCCAGGTGTTGGCTCAGCATGGTGCTGATCCGAACATCCCAGAGGACCATGGCCAAAGTCCTTTGAGCTTGGCCACTCAGTTCTCCATGCATTTGAACCCTGCAGCGAAACCCATCTCTACGCCGCAATCCGTTGACACAGTGGACCAGTGGACAGCGAGATCACAAGAGCTGCTGGGCGTCTTGAAGGTCTTGGTGGCTGCAAAGGTGAACTTGAACATCTATGATTTCGAAGGTATGACACCATTGCTGAACTTATTGAGGTTCAACAAGAACCAGTGGGGCGTACCTGCGCAGGCGCAGGCCTTCGCCCAGGCAACCCAAGCAAATGCGAACTTCTTGCTGCAGTCCGGTGCGAATCCCAACATGGTCAGCAAGCCTGGTTACATCAGCCCCTTGGCATTTTGTGCCCGGAACGGCTATCCGAGCACGGCCTCCCTGCTTCTCCAGAGAGGTGCTGATCGAAATGCCAGAAATGCATGGGGCAAAACACCAGCTCAGCTTTGCGGAGGTGGAATGGGTCAGTTGGAAGTAGCACGAATGCTGCGCTGAGACTATCTGAAGCCCACTTGATCATCCGGGTTTACTTGACATAGGTGGCAAAGTCCATGTCTTTAAACGGCACTGTTTTACCACAGGTGAAAATGTGTCTTGGAAGGAAGAGCAGGTTGTCCATTTGCCGCTCAAAGTGTCCTGCTCTCTTGAATCGTTCCCGCTTTGACCAGATCCGTTGCGCAACAGGTGGGTGCCATGGACCTGGCCGAAAAGCCTGGAAGCTCAGTAGCACCAGAAAAGAACAAAGAGTTTGAAACGACTGCTGGTTCTGAGTTCTTGCCTTTTATCTTTATTTTCTCCTCTCACATTCTTTCTTACTTTCGTCCTGAAGCTTGGCTCAGCAGCAAAGTTCAGTGCAGCATGGCACAACAGCTCTCGTACAAGCCCACCGGAGGCCAACAGCGATACGAAGCCACTGGAACGTTCTCTGGAATCTCTTCGTGTTCTTTCCTGTTTCCGAAAAAAAGACAGGCGAGATGGAGGGGAACTAGTTTTGGCGTCCAGGTATTGCCGTTGCGGGCATCTGCTCGTGAACGGACTCCAAGGTCTTGTGGAGGTGGTTCCGTTCGTTCTGCCCAGAGACCCACCAGTCTGGTCTGTGCAGATTTTGGATGCATCGAAGACTCCTCACATTTCCTGAGCTCATGAGTCTCTTGGGCTTACCTCAGGCTTGCTATTCGTTTTGCAGTGATTTCTGCTTGGCCTGCTGGGGCCTCATTCAGACCGGGCCGTGTGAAGTGTGTCAACGGCACAACTGACAGGTGGGACCAACGCTACAGTTTGGGCCTCGAAGAGAAAGGGTCCTTCCACTTGGCAATTTTTTTTTCCAATCTTTCAATGTCGTTCCGATTGCAGAAGGTAATTCCCCAAACAGTTTACTGTTGGGGTTCTTTCTGATTCTATCTTAGAAAACAAGAGCTGGCCACACTGACTGGCCGCGCCCCTGAACTCTGTGGCTGGGCTCTGTGACCGGGTCTTGTCCTCCGCTTGTCTTCTCTTGTCCTGCTCTTCTCTTGTCTTCTCCTGTGGCCGAACAATTAGCGGAATTAGCGATGTCGATGCCGACAAACATCATTGATTAAGCAATTACTGTAGCTCTTGGGGGGGAAGGTAGGGCGTACCAAGAAATCGTTTTTGACTAATATTGGTCCCAACGATTGAATCGAATCGTTTTGAAACTGTTCTTGTGAGTTCAGGTCTGTTGGCGAAGCGACCGATTTTGGGTGGTCAGATCCTGAATGAAGCCCTTCAATGAAGCTAGAATCTCTGCGAATATATCAATCCATTTCTTTCGACTAATATCACTGCCATGCATTTTGAGGATGCCCTCTGAGCTTTTCGCTTTCACGCAGTCATCTCACCAACAAGCCAAGCTCACAGATCAAGTGCCGCAGTTCCTACACTTTCGTCACAATGTTGTGACTAGCTTGTGTTCGTCTCAGTCTTTCCCCGACCGCCTCAAGCGCTACCTTTTCAGCAATCTCCTTCCGTCACATGGCTGCAGTGGCTGCAGGATGTGTTGAAATAAGGCCCTTAGGGGCCCACGATGCCACCCATGGTGCCACTTGTGCAACTCAGGAGGTTCATGAATTGGGCTGGATTTCACGAGCCAAGGCACAGTGGATGTCAGTGCGTCCTGTAAGTTTGACTCAATTGGCCGCCTCAATCCACGGATCGTGTGTCAAGCTGTTTCTGAGAAGAGGTGCTCCCAACTCTACATCTACTATGCCATTGTAGCATGCCATTATGCCCAGGAATAGAAGCATGTCCAGATTTCCGTGGGCGGTCAACTTTGTCCCCTTGTGGGACTTGTGGGTCCATGGTTCTGCCCGTTCAGGCGTGCTTTACGCCGTGAGCTTGACTTGGATGAGCGCTTGGAGCTGTTGGAAGCGTCCGGAGCTTTCGAGCTTTTGTAGGACCGAAACGCACAGAGCAGACTCTTCGGCTCTCTACTCTCACAAGGACCGTAACAGGTCCAGAGCATCACAAAGAGACAAAGACGCAACTGATCACTGTAAGATGTTTTTTACTTCAAAAGAACTGCATGTTCGACCCATTGTGAGAGCTAGCCTTTTCATTTGAGTTGCTCTATGTGGGAGCAAAGAAGGAACCGAAGTCACCGAGGCCTCGCACTTCCGCCAATGGAGGTCTGACATTAGAAGTTCGCCCAACTAGAACAGCGGAATGCAATGCATGCTTTGTGATGAACTTGCCTCCAAGCTACTAGCGATGGCCTCCAACCCAATAGCGATGGCCTCC